GATAAGGACATCAGATGGGACTGCAGTACTCAACTAAAGGAAAATAAACATTTTGTAAAGCCTAATCCACAGAAACGCATCAGTGCTATATATGTTTCTGAATAAGCAATGTAATACCCTCAAGCTTTTTGCAACCATTGCATCGATGTGATTACTGAAGTTAAGCCCACTAGAAATTACAACTCCAAGGTCGCGTACTTGGTTAGCACTTATCATCGGGCCAAGATCATTGTTATATACTGTCAAACTATCAACCCCTACTGGGAAGAGGTGACTTCTATGGAAGCTGACTTTGAGGTGCCAATATCGACTCCATTCAAACATTCGTTCAGCCGCTTTGTTGAGAGTCCTTTGAACTTCAACTTTTTTGTCTTTGCCATGAATTGCTGTGACTTTAACATCATCAGCATAGGCAGGACGAATATTCTTCTATCTGTTTTCAGAAAAGCAAGATCATAGGTATAAATGAGGAAAAGTATAGGGGAGAGAGTGCCTCCCTGAGGGACACCTGAAGGACATTCTCTAGGTAAAGAAAAATCTTGAGAAAAGCGTGCTATCAGTCTCCTATCACTAAGATACGAGCGAAACCAATCAAGCAGACCCCCACATATTACGGTGCTATGTAATCTCACTAAAAAGCTTTCGTGGCAAACCGTATCAAATGCTTTGCTGAAGTCAAAGTAAACTTCCGTATCGACTTTTTTGCTTTGACTCAGCGCATTATTCCATAGATGGGTACATTCTGTTAACAGTGGAAGAGCTTGAGAGAAAGCATATGAGGAATTCCATTTCAAATAACCGCCAGACTTTGGAATTGGGAGTCTGCCAAAATCACGCTTTCACGGTTGTGCTTCTAGCAAATGTTACACAGATTAAAGAAGAGAATCTGGTTCACATTTCCGAAACTGCGAGATCTAGGTTATCAGTATATATTATCATGGGCTCCCACATTCGAGTGAAGGCGGGAAGCGGACTTTCTCTGAATATAAGGACAAACCTTCACGTTGCAGCATTGTTTTTCGTACTCTTTCGTTGAAGGCACTGTTTAACTAAATCCTCGATTTCGAGTTTTTCTTCTTTTTAGCATCTCTTGCGCACGCAGTTCGAATCTATGCCTAAAATCGAACAAAAGTTCCAAATTATGAGTTTTGGATGCCCTTCGGAATCCGCAGTAGAAGAGCACTCCCTGCGCCTGCGGTCAAGCGCGGGTTAGCTGCTGGCCCATCGCGGAGCACAGACACGGAAGAACGCTGTTCTGGTCGTTTCCTGATCTTTGCGCGAGCTAGGCGAAATCATTGAGTGGGCGGGACTGACGTACCTCCCACTTAATAGGGAAGCCAACGTGACGAATCCGTCGAAGGATTTTCGAAACAGAGGAACCGTCCTCATGCAGTCTATGGAAAAAAATTAAAGTCTTATCTCATGCTGTCTTGTAAGAGCTCGTGTAACGGAAAAGTGCCGAAGATTTATCCGAAAATTCTTTGAAGAAGACATGGCCGCTCTTCGAAGTTCATGTGTATGGCAATCATTGGGTTACGCTAGTAGGCCATACCTGCGTTACCTAGTATGTTGGGAGGGAAGGTGGCGATATCTATATTTAACAGCTCAGATCTCTTGGTTTTCATAGGAGTTAGTTGATAACTCGTTTTCTTTAGTTTGAGTGGTAAATTGCTGAAAGCACAAGCCCTGAAGGCGGGAATGAAACAAACGAGATGCTGGCTCCCAAATCCATAGTTTGGCTGTTATTTGAAGTGGAGTTTTGCAGGGAAAAGAAAAAGTCATGTTTTGTAGTGAGTGCAAAAATATTTAGCTAACTCATTTTTAAAGCGAAGCTAATCATGTTCGAAAATAAACATTTCACTTGGGTGGTCTCACATTTGAAAACTCAAAAATGCTCAAATTGGTGCACAGAAGTGAATTGACATGCTTACGAGTATATGATACTAATTTAGTTTGATAGAGCCTTTATATTCCCATTGTTCGTATGCGAAGATAGTATACTTTGGAATATTCGAGATTTTTTCGAATAATCGAATAACCGAATATACAGGGTGTCCCAAAAAATGTGCCTACTGTTTGATTGTAAATAACTCTCTTGTAACGAAGTGTTTCGAGATGCTTTAGGTACCATCTTGTGGAGCGAGCTTAAACTTAGATTTGCAGTATGGAGTAAATCATCGATCGCTCGTTATTACTGTAGGATTACGGTAAGAGCTTCCAGCATATGGAACCATTGTGAAATATAACACCTAACAAAATTTTTTTCAAAAAATCTGAAAAATTGTGTACTAAGGTTTTCGCGCATGCCAGTTCCATCTAACAACTTTTCATGAGTGTTTTCAGCTTTTTTGACGGTTTAATTACATTTCTGAGAAATGCTGGAAATTGAGTTATTACGATTTACTGGGGATAACTTAGGAAAGAAGCATCACAGCAAAATAGGAATTTCAAATTCGAAATCAGCGGCTCCCATTACCGTGGTGTAAGAGTTTTTGGCTTGTTATGTTTCGTTCCGAGGCAGAGTATAGCCTTCAAAGGCCTAAAATCCTTGTCGAAGTTCTTACCGTAATTTTACGGTAATGAAGAGCGATAGATGATTCGCTCCATACTGCAAATCTAAGTTCAATCTCGCTCTACAAAACGCTATCTAAAGCATCTCGAAACACTTCGTTACAAGAGAGTTATTTACAATCAAACAGTAGGCACATTTTTTGGGACACCCTGTATTCGAAAATCAAAAATATCGAATAATCGAATTTCGATCATTTCAAAAACAAAAAATGTCGAATATTCGAATATCGATTATTTTCGAAAAACAAAAATGTCGAATTATCGAATATCGAATATTTTCGAAGTAGGAAAATCGAATAATCGAATCTCACATATAAAGCTGAATGTGTGTTTGTCTTTATGTATGTCATAGGCTACTTTTCGTTATCGATCGATATCGATTTTATCGATTTTTTGCAAAATTTGAGCTACGGGGCTGGGAGTTGGCACAGGAGAGTAATCGAGCATGCTGATTACAAATATATTATTGACATGGCCGGGCGGAGCCGGGTTTACCAACTAGTATCGAATATATTCGAAATGGAAAAAACCGACTAGTCGAATATATTTGAGAAAAAAATCCGAATAAACGAATATTTTGCATCGATTATGTCGAATATTCAAACAAATTTTAAACGTATTAGCACAATGAAGGACTCCATGCAGTGGGCAACTCGGACAACAAACGATGGTTGCTGATATAGCAGTCAAAATTGTGACGCTGTCATGTAGTTATTCGACTACGAAATTGTCGAATAATCGAATAACTCCTGAAAATGAATATTCGAATGTTCGAATATTTTCGAAAATCAAATTTTTCGAATAACCGAATAATCGACTAAATTCGAAATTGACAAATTTCGAATAAGCGAATATCGAATATATTCGGGATTTTAAAATTTTCGAATAATCGAATTTCGGAATACTCGAATATTTATTCGATTCGGTCCAAAGTATAGAAGATAGGCCAAACACCTCGGTGTGCTTCTTTTCGGCGTAATGGCCTCATCTGACATTGTCAACGACATCATGTTTTGTTGTTTTTGGTGATCTATATCCTAAACTAGCTGGTCCTGTCAAAACACAATGGTAGAGATACCCACCTTTGTCCCTGTACACCTTCCCCCGGGCCCCACATGCCAATTCTTTATTCCCACTGTGTTAGTAATCAGCATGCTTGATTACCCCGTGCCAACTTCCAGCCCTGCAGGCCAAACTTTTCAAAACCGATAAAAATCAATAAAATTGATATCGACCGATAAAGGAATATAGCCCATGACACCCGCCCCGCCCCGAAGTATATGTATGCAAAGTTTGGTCCGGATCGGTTCGGAAATAAAAAACTTCTGTTTGAAAGATACGTGCAGACAAACATACACACAGACATACAGACAGACAAACAGCATCCAGCTTTATATATGAGATAATATACTTTATCATTATGATACGCTAACATCATTCACCTCGATTACTTTCCCTTTCCCTCTCTGGCCCCTCAATAGACCCCCAGGTGTATTGTGCCACTCCATTCCTCGCGTTTGACCCTGATAGTAAACTCTGCGGATCTGCGTGGGCATCACTTATTCTGGTCGATCGACATTAGGATGGTCGTTGCCTTACAGTTATGATATTAGGCGGAGCATTGCAGTCAAACTGACGCGTACGCGTGGCACTTCCCGATGATAAGTAGGAAAGCGTGCTGTAGAGAGGTTCACCAGGTTTTTCATCATGTGCAAATGCCTGCGATGCTCTTCCTACTTCATAGCTGAGGGACGACTCTCTTACGGGGGATTGTACTGGTGATCAGTGGCTGTTTTCTTTGGACTGGAACCGCTACTGCGGGCGATGATGTACCCACAGTCGAGTAGATTTTCCACTCATGTAGTGTGCTTGCACTGCAGGTGAAATGTGGTAAATTGGTAAGTGGGAAATACTGCGGTCGTAGCCAACTGCGCGCGCAAAATGCCGATTGGCGTGGCTATCTGTTCACGCGCAAATTTTACCGCATTTTGTAGGCAGTGCAAGCACACTATATTGAGCGGAGAATCTATTCGATTGTAAGGCACAAGGCATACCTCACGCGATTACCATCGTTGCGTGATTCGGCACCGAAGCTACTGTTCGTTATTGGTCGTTACCGGCCTTTGTTTGAACAGGATGATCCGTTTGCAAGGGCTTACAAAAGCTACGCGCCTATGCATTTGAAAGCCGTCCACGACAAATATGTGAAAATCTGGTAGAACGCGAAGTCGTGTGGACGTCGAGATTTGGTCAAATTGCGTGAGGTATGTCTTATGCCTAAGACGTCTTCCGTATACGCGTCATTGTATGTACAAACACTATTTGAAGAAATTTTTGGAATATACTGAGTGTTTGCGTTTGCAAACACTCAATATTCCAAAACCAGAAAAACTTGCTTATGACACTCGACGAAATCATAATATTTTCAGGCGTTCCAGAGGATCTCGTCGACCATTTTTCTGTTGCACAGAATCTGCTAGAATTTCAAAATACCGTTAAAGATATCGCCATGATCTTTGACAAAGTAGTGAAGAGTTTGAATATTTTTTTGCTGTATTCACATTCACAAGAGTTTAGGAAAAGCGCGAGATAAAGCTGTGCTCGTTTGGGACGATTTCGCTCAAAAAGGCAGTTGTTCTTAGCGAAATGTATTTCAGGGTGAGTAACAGTTGTCTTTGGGACATTCACAAGCTCATCAGTGGAAGAAACATCTTCAGGACGTACGCTTGAGAAACCAGCTACGCGCTCGAGCTGAAGAGGCCGAACGCATGTTGCAGCATGGCGGTCAACGCAATGATCGAGATTCTCCATTTGTGGATGAGTTTGAGTACGTCAGGCCCTGACTTTTTCTTTCTTTTCTACTTTTTTATTTGGGATGGTTCAAGGGTCGCTGCTGATCTGATGGGGCTTGCCATTGGTACCCACGGATCAAACATACAGAGAGCCAGAAATGTCGAAGATGTGGACGACATTCAAGTATTTGAAGGTGGCGGCGACGGGCAGCCATGCATCATAAAGGTATGCTTGTTTAGTATGCTTCATCAACAATCCGTGGCTTTCGCTGTCGGGTGATTGCGATTTTCGCGGCCTGATTTCTGACGTCTTCGTCGAGCGACAGTTTTCCCGTATGCAAATGTGATGACGCTAAATTATACTGTAAACGAAACGCATTATATATACTCTGATGGGTCTTCGAAAGCTGCAACAACATGCTTTCTTACAAATCTGCTGGAACTGGAATATGTATTATTGCATCAACTCGGCGATTACCAGAACGAAATCGGCAGCTCGACTTGCACAATGATTTGCGCTGTTCACTGCAGCTTTCTCTTTGTAGAACTGAACTTTTACAGCTATGTCCACTTCAAACCTATATTCGGTTTTTTTGTTGTTGATCGTTTTGTTGTCTCCTACGGTACCTATTATTCATTCTCTGACTAGGAGACGCGAGCACGCTTTGCGTACATTTCATAACAAGTTCATACCTAAATGACTTTTAACATGTGTTGGTTTATTTACTATTGGACGTGGAAGAACATGTTGGAGCTCGTTAGATCATTGGCTTGAACACGTTCTTTCACGAACTCCTGATAGCAGTCAACAAAAACGCGTTAGAACTCATTCATGATTTGTTGATCAAACGTACTCAAAGCGTGCTCGCGTCTCTTAGTCAGAGAATGAATGATGCTGACTTTCTCCTTCAGATTTTTGCGAAGACAGCAGCTGCTGCTCAAAAAGCGCGAGCACAGCTTGACTTCGGTGTTGAATGTGTGCACGTGCCGAGATTTCTTGTAGGAAAATTGATCGGAAAGAATGGAAAATGCATCCAGGTAAAGACTGTTTTTAGTAGTGAAAGGCTGTTTTTAGTATTGTTTGCACATATATCGTTCAGTGTTAACTTTACAAACTCGTAAAAATTGCAGGAAATAGTAGACAAGTCCGGTGTGGTGCGAGTTCAGATTGCAGGAGAGGACGATGACACTATGGATCCGGTACCTTTCACTTTCACGGGAACCAGGTAGTTTTTAGCAAGATATCAGTCTGTCATGTGCTTATCACTGTCAGTCAGCTAATTTCTCACAGAGAGTCAACATCTATGGCCTCATTCCTGGTAGACTTCCAAATCAATCATCTCAAGGAAACCGAAGGATTACGTAACAATATCGAAGATATGATGCGGCAGGCCTACAGCAATAGTAAGCTTCTGTTATACCAGCTCTTCAGTCAGCAAATACTCTTTCTCCAACAGATAGTAGAATAGGAAAGTCATTATAGTGTTGCGTAGTAAGGCTTTTAGGCACTTATCAACGCAATGGCTATGGTGATCGTGGTGGTTTTGACAGGCGCGGAGGACGCCGCGGACGTGGTCGAGGCGGCTATCGCAACGGTAGTCAAAATGGTGGCTCTGCCAATGGAAGTTCAAGCAACGTAGGAAAACCTTGGAGGTAGGTTTGCATTTTTGTGATTTTATTGGAAGTTTTTTTTTCGTTGAAGTTGTTCGTCTTGGTTGTTTTTGTCAATCACTCATGCATAGCGACTTTTGCTATTTATGGAGTGATGATAAAGGAGTGTAGCGCTTGGTTTGGGAATGTTGACTTTGTAGTCGGTTCAAAATATTGTTTTTATAGCATCAAGACTCTAAGACTATACTTTAGACTATACTTCGTACTTTCGCCGAAATGAGCGATGGGGGAGGGTAGGATCCTCCAAAGGATCGCCGCCTTTTCTCCAGGCGCGCCCGTCGGGGGCAATGTTCTCTCAGTGCTACCTCGCAATTATGTCGCTCGCACATTCCTGCAGTTCCCCTCCGGACTATCGCCTTGTCTATCTGGCATTAATTGAAAAGGTAATAAAAAGCAGGCTGATAAGGAAGGTAGTTTAATTAGCGACCATTGAAGCTAAAAAGATATCTATAGGTTGGCGCGAAAGTTCATGCGTAATCTAAACGAAAATCACTTTTCCTATTCCAGAGCTAAATTCATAGTTTGTTATTCTGAAAATGGTAGAAGGTTTGCGATCCATAACAGATGTTCAAGCGCAATAGTAACATTCAATAAATCAGTCACCGAAGACGGAGCTTTCGAAAATGGCTCCAAATTGATGTTGAGTTTGGTGCTAGAAACTGGCAGAGGGCAGCTAGCTAGCCAAAAAACCTGTAGATAACTTTGCACAGCAAAAGTCTATATTTTACAGGCAGGCGGTAACGTAAATGCAAAAAATTTGTGAAAAATGTCATTTCACAAATGTGATCTTCTCATTACTGCACTTTTTCAGTGAAAACACTTTTGAGCTCCATAAAACATCGCAATATTCTAAGGGACCAGTGTGCCTAATTTCTGGTTCCAAATGTGTTTTGTGAAAAAAACTGTAGCGAAAAGGGAGTATATTTTGTGGAATGACAAAATTCAAAATTTTTTGTTTTCGCGTTTCCATAGTGAATTGAAACATGTCAAAATAACCTATGGATTTGCTGTGTAAGAAATTGCAGTTTTTGGGCTCGCTGGCGCCCCTTCGCAATTTTATAGCAGCGAACTCGGAATCACAAAATTTAAAACGCCATCTATGATAAGTTTGCTCTTGGTGGCTAACTAATAGAATGTTATGCTTGAAGATCACTGCGTAATATGTCATGGTTATCTGTACTTTCCGCACATGGTAGCAGATGGTAGACAGGGAGATGCCCCACGAGATGCGGACATGCCCATTCTGCATTTCAGGACAAGACGTGTCATGCATACCGAACCATCTCGAATTATTTTTCACGCATAGATTCCGCCAAAGGACAAGTTCTACGAATCAGACTGTAAACATACCATCACATGTAGCATATTAACCTCAAGAATTTTTCGCCTGGCACAACGATGTTCTCTCGTAAGTCACATGATTACATATCCGATCCTGAGCAACCATTCGGCAAATGTTTCCCTTGTCGAGATTCAATATATTGGGTTGGTCCGAAAGTTCTGTCGCACCATTTTCAAAAAAAAAAGTAACTTCTTCCTAACTCACTGTTCTCGCATGATTAAAGGCAGCGTCCAGGCAGATCTGGACCTGTGGGGATTTTACGTGGAAAGTACTTTTGGGGCCCTAACTAAGACACTGCCCAAGCGTCAGCGAGGTAATGCTCTAACGGCTATGATATTCCCCTCGAAACTGGACCCTTCGGTCGTATTCACATGGATTCATGGCAGTTTCGCGCCAGGATCCTTTGTCCCATGAATTCATGCGAAATACGACCGCGGGGTCCAGTTTCGAGGGGAATATCTGAGCCGTTAGAGCACTAACTGAGCTGCCGGTTGGGCGTGGCTTAGTTAGGGCCATAAAATTACTATCCACGTGAGATTCCCATGTGTTCAGACTTGCCTGGACGCTACCATTAAAACCATGTTGAAAAGAGCAATTCATGTAGTTTCTAGAAACACCTCGGCTGCCATCTACTAAGCTTTGAAAGCAGAGATAAAAATGGGAAAAGGAAATCAGTTCAGGTTTAGTCAAGTTTGGAATTTTGATGCAAGCCCGTTGAAAAATCCAAAACTGTGCCGGAGATCCAAAACAGTTTCCTAAATTTTTTTAACCCTCTCTTTTCAGCTGAACAAAATTCGCGCCGATCGAGCTGTTTTTTTTTTCTGAAAGTTATGATTTTGAAAGAATGTCAAAAATCAATTTTCTTCAGAAATTTGCCCTCACCTTTCTTACAAAAGAAGGTCTTGATGTTTTCCACTGTCGGGGGTCCTTTCCCCTCTGAGTCAGATGTTAGATGCGACGCGAGAACCTCGTGTAGGCATTGTCCCGGCTTCCAGAAGTTCGACGGAAAGATGATCTGGTCCTGAAATTGTGGACGTCTTCATGGTCTGGATCGCGGTACGCACTTCAGCAGGTCGGATCCTTGGTGATACACTTGAATAATTCCATATGATCATGTGTGCATTGCAAACATCGTCCATCTTTGGCGTCCTCATCCTGAATTTCCAATCGCAAAAACGCAAGGGACTAATCGATCATCACTCTGAGGTGACTAGCACTTAGAAAGGAAAGAAACCTCGATGGACACATTGAAAACACTCACCAAAGGATCTCCTTCAAGAATCCAGGATGGAAACGCCAAAAAGTGGACATAATGTGCAGTGACAACATGACCATAGAAATTGATTCGATTGTACTTCTCCAGTGGGAACGGACATCGGCACGAGTGAGCGGAAGAGGTTGTTTTAGAAGTTCTTCGCGATAGTTTTCATCCTATATCGCGAAAAAGTCTAAGTTCTATCTTTATGCAGTAGTGCCAGCTGATATTCTGATATTCACAGACGCCTCTCTTTGGCACTTTTCAAGACTGTCTCCCTCCTTCTGCTTCCAGTTTTTTGACTTGCCCATACCCGCTGAGATCCTCCTGCAACTAGTGTTGGCCATCAGTCGCTCGAGATGGGTTGCGTTTGGATCACGGTCAAGCGTGTGATGCGACTGTCGCAACACGGGGTCGTAAGGGGGCACCGGCGGTGGGGGGGGGGGGGGGAATCGTAAGAGAGGGTGGTCCGAATTAAAAAAGTCTGGAATGTAGGAAATAAGCTCCTTAGTTGCAAAAATTCTCTACTCTTCAAAAACCAGCATTATTCTCTCTGCAAAAAAGGTGTCGCAGACGGGGATCGAACTTGCTGGCCACAAGTATGACCGAAGATCCCAAAGACACTTTCAGAAGCACAAACACTAGACATGTATGTGTGACAAGAATGTTAAATGTACCAATTGGCCTAGAAACCTGGTTCCGAAACATCACCGAAGTCTCACACTCTCGACAAAAGCGCTCATCTCTACCACCGATAACCATCGATAATTTTCAAAACTTTTTTGTTATGTCTTTCAAGGGCCCATACAATTTACCTGTACTTTGGAGATGCCCTGCTACAGCGTGCAAAATCTGGTTATATTTCACAGCCTGTGGATTTTTTTGAAATTTTATATGTGGCAACAAAAAATAAGCAAAGGGGGTTCGTATCTGGGTCGCAAAATTGGGTATCTGGGTCATTAAATTTTTTCGCCGCTGTGGAGGCCTGCTCGCTGCGATTTTGCTGTATTACGAGTCCATTCTTCTACTTTCTATCATAAAAATTTTAGGCCGTTTTATATCTTCTCCGGCGAGTTTTTTTTAATTTCAAGAATAAAAATCTCAGTTTTGCTTTCTAGGATCGCATCTAAATTTGCGAGACGCATCTAGATTTTTTCGAGCTCACAGCCCCTCAATGGCTGAAACTTTCTATGGATAGTATTTACAGAATACTGCACAGCCTATTCATTACAGTCTCTCAGTCTTTCCCTGACCTTAGTTACGAATTTTCAAAGTGTTGTGCTCATGCACGTTTTTAGCATCGTTCTGGAAGGCGCTAAAACAGTTTTTTTCGCAGGAAATTCTGTGTAATAGATAGAAAGTAAGCTTTTTAGTCGAAAACAATTTTTACGCTTCAAAGATATCGTTTTTTTCTCCCTGCAAAAAAGTTTTGTCGCGTACGGGGATAGAACAGAGGCTGTCATTAAAGTCTAAAACGTTCTAATTTCCAGAACCATGGTCTATATCTTTCGGTACTATTGGACCATGAAAGGATTATGCCGAACATTCATAAACAGCAGAAAAGTTTATTAACCTTCACTAGGAAAGGAGTTATCATAAAATAGTCAATTATAATGACTAAAGTGAACCGTTCCGTTTCTTGGTTGTTATTCTATCTCATTTGTTATAGGTAGAGTACAACTTCAACACCATTCGAATCAACATCGATGTTCTGCTTTGTCAGATAATGTCCTTTCCATTCATATTTTCCCACAGTAAGCAGAGCCAATTTGTAAACTTTACTACTTACCCAATCTACGTGAATTTATTTGTTTTTTGAGTGGTGAAGCATTACTTGCATTATCTCCCAATCTGTAAGTAGTTATCTTTCTTTGACCTGTAATTTTGACTGGGGTCCCCTTGGCAGGCATCTTTTGAGATTGACATTCGTTTATGCAAGTTACCCGCAAAAGGAAATGGAGGAGGGGGGAGCTGGGGGGCTAGGATATAAGTATTTTTGATTTTTTGTACGTAATTTGTGACTGTCTGTTCTATCCAGATATCAAAATCATTTTTGCTAAGATTTTCATGTTGTCTATATTTAGTACCTTTTTTAAGTATATCAATGAGTGTTTGGTTTTTGACTATTGTAAGATCTCCAGTGACTATGTGTTTGTGAAAAGAGTCAACATAACTATGGTATTCTTGTTTACTACAAATACATTCTGAATTAATTATCATAGTCAACTTTTCTTTGTTTAGATCTCTGAGAACTTTGTTATAATTGAATAATAGTTTAGAGAATGGTTTGTAATAGTTATATATAATAGTGAACGGTTTTATTTTTGAAATAGGAATAGATATATTAATTGCTGCACAAGTTTTGTGCGTTTTGCTTTTTCCAAGCTAATTATAGCTTCTTTCAAAATTCGGTAAACTTAATTTCTGTAGATTGAGCCTTTTGGCTAACAGGGTAGATATTAAAAGAACCATAAATGCAATCAAGAAAAGCAAGAGCTCGAAATTTTTGCAACGTTTTCTTCAAACCTACTTCAACATGCTATGCTCGCTTATGACAAGTGGCAGACATATTTAGTCACCATAAGTAAATAGGAAAAATTACGGGGGTTATCTTATGTCCAGAAAGAATTTGGTTTCAGGACAGGAATTTCTTGAGTAATTGCAAAAGTCGTGTTTTGAGCTCGTTTTAGTATACTCGCGAATTCCCAATTTCACATCATAAACTTTTTGAGAATGCTGCGAGTGGTGAGGAGTATTATATGGGTTCTGTTAGCTCCTGCTTTACTCCGTCACTTCCGTTCGACTCAGCGATTGCCTCTATTCACAGAATGTCATTGTCCGTAGAACAATAATATAAAGATTGATTTACGACAGAAATGCAAGCAAGACTTTTCACACGAGGGTTGATTTGTGCGTATGCATGCCCATTGTACGCTTATTTCGCGGTTGCAAGGGATACTTGGAGAGCACATTGTGGGGGATGTTCTTACAAGACAATTTTTCAGATGGGACCGAATTTCAGCCAGGTGAAATCGTAGGCTTATCTCCAAAAAACGCTTTCTAGTGATACTACCCTAAAATCCGGCATATAAATCCTCCCATCAGATAGGTCCACCCATCAGATAAGTCCGCAGCAGATAAGTCCGCTTTTTTGACAAGGAAAGTCGATGAAAATTCACCCTCGCGCGGCCAAGAATACTGCAGATAAGTCCGCTTTTTCTTTCAGATAAAAACAAGAATGATGCGCAATTGCGCTGCCTTTTTTGATTTCAAAATGAATCAAAGCAACAGATCTTTATTCAGGTTCCATTCCACGTTCATCATCATCAAAAACATTTAAAGAACGACGATCATCAGCGTTATTATCAGTGACAACCAAAGCGTCAAAATCCTCGTTCATGGCATCTACCATTGATTCTTTATCGAGAGCCCTGGTGAAACTGTTCGCAATCGTTTCTTCAGAAATCGCATTGAAACTCTCGTAGACTAGTGCAGCTACCTCTCCGTAGGTCATCCTTTTCCTGGCGCCGCCTGTTGTGTACCTTGCTCGTGCTGAATCGGCCATCCATCGCTCCCATCCAGTACTCTGCGTTGATACCACTGCTT